GTTTGCCGGGCTCTCTGAGAGGGGCGGACAAATTGAACCTGGGTCAGCCGAGTGGGCCACATGCAAGGCAAACGCCCTATCTGCTGTGCTATCACTCCAGCCCAATAAAATTTTTTTTTAAAAAATTCTGTTTGCAATAGTGTCTTTTTTATTATCACTAAGGTAAATAGTGCAAACCTTTCTTTCTTTCTTTTTTTTTAATGGTTAGACATTTGAAATAATACCCATTGCCATCGATAGTCACTGAAATGCCAGTTAACCAGATTCTGTTTTTTTTAAGTAACTAAGATCGATTTTTTTCCCATTCTTTTTGTTATTTGGTTCATAAGGATACCTAGAGATAATGAAGAAAACAGAAATGTAAAACTGGGATGCTGCTTGATGCCTTTTGTTAAGTATTCTTGTGATCATCTAGTCTAAGAACTTCATTCAGAATTCACTTAAAAATTTTTTTCAGGAGGCCAGAGAGATAGTACAGCTGGAGTGGTTCCCGTGCAGACAGCTGATGAGGCCAGCCATGTATGGCCCAAACCACCACCCCATCCCCATTTTTGTTGTTGTTTTAAAAAGTGAAAATAGCATTGCTCCTATTTGCTTTTCTTTCTTTAAGTTACCTTGTTTTACTTTTTTTTTTTAAATTTGTGTAGACAAGTCATTTACTTTTGGTTTCTGACTGGTTTCATACTCATATTACTCTATCTTATAGTTCTGTTGAATTAGTTCCCTGGTGGATTAAATTGCCCCCACCTACCATGTACTAAATCTCCATAGTGAATCTTTGGGTTCTCACAGAGTAGTATTTCAGTGTGGAATTTAGTGTCTAACTGTGTGCTTAATGCCTTAATTCTTAAACTGACTATGGTGTTACTTCACCAAATTCTGTAACCTTCCTAAACCTGTTTCTTAACTATAAAGTGAGGAAAGTATACTTAACCTCAAGACAGATCTTATAATCATTAAGCGATATGGATCATGTAAAAGCTCTATTGTGGATTATGTTATTATAAATATTACTATTTTAAATTATATAATTGAGTTTTTTTACATGCCTACTATGTTGGTGGGCTGGAGCGATAGCACAGCATAGGGCGTTTGCCTTACAAACAGCCAACATGGCTGACCCGAGTTTGATTCCTCCGCCCCTCTCAGGGAGAGAGAGAGTATCTCGCCCTCACGGCAAAGCCTGGCAAGCTACCCGTGACGTATTCGATGTGCCAAACACAGTAACGATTGTCACAGGGGAGGCATTACTGGGCCCGCTCGAGCAAATCGATGAACAACGGGAGGACAGTGACAGTGACTATGTTGGTAGTAATCTTTTGGCAAGGTCTTGGCAAGGTCAAACATGAAATAATTTTGTGTGATTTTCTTTTCTTTTCTTTTTTTGGGTTTTTGGGTCACACGGCAATGCACAGGGGTTACTCCTGGCTCATGCACTCAGGATTTACCCCTGGCGGTGCTCGGGGGACCATATGGGATGCTGGGAATCAAACCTGGGTTGGCCGCATGCAAGGCAAATGCCCTACCCGCTGTGCTATCACTCCAGCCCCTGATTTTCTGTTTTTAATTTTATTATAGGCACTGTGCTTTATAAAACTGTTGATGATAGGGTTTCATGCATAAAGCATACCTTCAACCACACCTTCCTCCACACTGTTCACTTCCACCTACCATTGTCCCAGTTGTGTGTGCATGTGCCCATCCCCTTTCCTAACCCTGTAGTAAACATCCTACTCAAGGCCAGTTCTCTGGCCGGAGCAATAGCACAGCAGGTGGGGTGTTTGCCTTGCACAAGGCCGACCCGGGTTTGATTCCCAGCATCGCATATGGTCCACGAGCACCGCCAGGAGTAATTCCTGAGTGCAAAGACAGGAGTAACCCCTGTGCATTGCCAGGTATGACAAAAAAAAAAAAAAGCACTTCTCAGTTTCTGTTCTCTTTGTGCATTTATAGTTCTCGCACTATGTTCCTTTTTATTCCACATAGGAGAGAAATCATTCTGTGTCTGCCTTTCTTCACTGAGTATACTTCACTCAGAATACTTTCCAGATCCATCCTTGTAGCAGCAAACTGCACTGTGCACCTCCCTATAGTCTTTTGTTTGTTTCGTTTTTAATCCACACCTGGCTATGTTCAGGGCTTACTCCTGGCTCTGAGCTCAGGGATCACTCTTGGCAGGGCTCAGGGGATAGAATGCCAGGAATAGAGTCTGGATCAGCTGTGTACAAGGCAAGTGCTCTTCCTGCTGTACTGTCTCTTTAACTTATGTACCATAGCTTATCCAGTCACTTTTTCTTTGGGCACTTGAGTTGTTTCCAGGTCTGGCTACTGTGAACATCTGTTTGTGCTGCAGTAAACATCAGAGTGCAAATGTCTTTTCTGAGTAGCGTTTTTTTTTGTTGTTGTTGGTGTTGACTCCCAGAATTATAATTGCCAGGTCATATGGAAGCACAATTTCTAATTTTTTGAGATATGTTCATATTGTTTCCAAAAACAGCGGAGTGAGACCAGCAGTGAGTGAGGGTTCCTTATTTTCCACATTCACACTGACACATTATTTTTGTTCTTCATGGTATGTGCTGGTCTCACTAGATGATATCTCATTGTTGTTTTGATTTGTGTTTCTTTGTTGATAAGTGATACACAGCAGTATTTCATACACCTTTGGCCATCTGTATGACTTTGAGAAAGTTTCTTTCATCTCTTCCCCAACACCCAATTCTGCCATTTTTTAATATGGTTGGTTGGTTTATTTTCTTGTAAAGTGCCTTACATATCTTGGACATCAACTTTGCATTAGTTGAGTGTTGGGCAAATATTTTGGTCCCTGTCTGTGGGTTGTCTTTTTAATCTGGCCATCATTTCCTTGGCAATGCAAAGCTTGCAGAAGCTTCATAGTTTGAATTAGTCCCATTTATTTATCTCTGCTTTCATTTGCTTGACTGGTGGCTTTGAATCATTGGAAATAATTTCCATTCTGGGAGACTGTACAGTGGTTAGGATATGTAGAACTTGATCACTTGACTTCCTGTTACTCATTGATTTGCGTGAGCGGGCGCCAGTAACGTCTCCATTCGTCCCTGTTGCATGCTGGTGTACCCCAATGGCGTCTGTTCCTTCTAGGAACATGAAGAGTCTCAAACCGATCGTTCAGGGTCTTGACAAAGAAGTCTGATCATCTTGTAGGTGAGCAGCCTCAGTCTTTTGACGTTCCATGGAATCCAGTCAGTGACAACTCTAGTCCAGCAGTCGTCTCTAAATCTCATTACGTGTCCAGCCCATCTGATTTTCGACGCCTTGGCACACGAGACAGTCTCCCTGATTCTTGACCGTCGATGGAGGTCGGAACTCCCGATTCTGTCTCTCATTTGAGTGAAACGTGATACTCCAAGCATAGCTCTTTTGATTCCTCTTTGGGAGGCCCGAATAGCATTCTTGTCCTGTTTTCACTGTAGAACTTATCAGTGGTAAAATTTTCTACTCCAAATATATTTGTTGGTTCTAAAATGTTTTACTTACTGCATTTCACTGCTGTATTTAAAAATGTCCCAGTTTAGTTTTGCTTAATGTGGGAGGTATATAGTCTATGTATGTAGCCTTTTTAGAAATAAGATATTGGAGCTAGAGAGATATAGGTGGTAGGGTGCTTGCCTAGCACATGACAGACTCAAGTTTGATATCCAGTTCCCTGTATGCTTCCCTGAACCTACTCGAAGATTCCTGAGCATAAAGCATTTTGTTTGTAGACCAAAACCCAGTAAAAATATTGTTCAGTATTTAATTTTTCCCCCTTTTTGGAGGGGGCAAGGGTAGTGGAGGTTGATACCTGGCAGTGCTCTGAGGGCTAACTCCTGGTTTTGTGTTCAGGGCTCCACTCTCTTTAGTGCTTAGGGGACTGTGCAGGTGCTGGGGAAGGAACCCTGGTCAGCCTCATACAAAATTCTTGCTGTTTCTTTTTTCACAGATGTTTGACTATACCCATTCATATGGTGAGCTCTTCGGCTAACCCTTATTAATGCAGAGAATGGAATGGTAACCTGTTATTGTTTAGCAGCCTCTTTTATTTTTGAAGTCTATTAAAAATGAAAATTTGAGAAATGCTACTCCATTTTAGAATAAAACAGTGTTTGGAGAACTGTCACTGTCCTCCCGTTGTTCATCGGTTTGCGCGAGCGGACCCAGTAATGTCTCCTTTGGAGACTGTTGGTACTGTGTTTGGCATATCGAATACATCACGGGTAGCTTGCCAGGCTCTGCCATGCGGGCGAGATACTCTCGGTAGCTTGCTGGGCTCTCCGAGAGGGGCGGAGGAATCGAACTCAAGTCGGCCATGTTGGCTGCGTGCAAGGCAAACGCCCTACCGCTGTGCTATTGCTCCAGCCCAGTGTTTGGAGAATATAAGATAAATTTGTAGGGGATCAGTTGTGTACTGTAAATAAATTGGTTGGTTTTTTTTTTTCGTTTTTTGTTTTTAGTTCACTGTTTGACCTATGTCAGTTCTGTTTTTGTTTGCAGGATCAGTAACTTAAAAGTCAGTGAACTTGTCATATGCTCCTATAATATAGAAATTTATGCTTTTCTCACTACTTTTCAGGACCCAAGTACCATTTCCTGAAGACTGATTATTCATGTTTTCTCTTTATAAAATGCTAGTTCATGTATATTTCTTGGGTCTGGTTAATCTTTAGGGATAATTTAATTCTTATGAAACCTTGCCTTTTCCTCCCTTCTGACTATACTCAGTTTTCACTTCCAGTACACTTAACCTCCAGACACATATCTACTGTGAAGTAGTTGATGTAGCTGTTTCTCTTCACTCTAGACTGTACACTCTTTGGAGATAGGAACTGTGTTTTGTTTCCTTCCATATATAATTTCCAGAATCACCATAAGCCTCATGTTCAGGAGTCCAGAAAAGTTGTGCCACCACCCTGCACCCAGCTCTGCATCTCTCACAGAAGGTTTTGAATTCTTAACTTTTTTTTTCCTTCCTTCTATAGGTGAAGACTTGAAAGGAAAGATCACAGTCCACAAGAACAAGAAAGATCCACGTTCTCTCATTGTGACCCTCACTTTGAATAATTTGACTCATACTTATGGCCTCCAGTGAAAGACATCAACAAAAAGACAAAATTTTAATATGTGGTGGTATTGGTAAGGAGGTATAGGGAGAGTTTCATGTGAGTACATGGAGAGAGTCTTTCCTAAAGAGTTTTCTCAGAAGAATGGTCGGAATTACTAGCATTCAGCTGAAGAAGAACCAACTGATCCTAATGGACTCCCTATGTTACTCTTTGAAGTATGGAATAAAATCTAATTTTTTGCATCGAGTTTACTTACATTGACAATTTCAGCTGTTCTTTCTTATTTTTTATTTTCTTACTGTAAATTTCAAGCACTGGTAATTATTTTGGATAATGTTTTGTTAAACTAGTAAGCACATGAAAAGGTACACATTTTACTTTATATTCTCCAAAGAGAAATAGATTTTAACTTTTATCATTTACTCGAGTATCAGAACATAATGAGAGGCTAACATACAGAAAAGAATCATCAGACTTCTAACAAAAATCATATTTGAAGACAGCTTAGTTTGACTTAACTACTAAATTTTTAGTTCTCATTTTGTAATTTCTCTCTTTGCAAATATTCTTCAACAATATCGTTTTCTAGTGTTGCCTGGGAAAAACCTCATTTCAGTACATTAGTCCTATGTGGCGTAAGAGTTTAAAGAGTTGGATAAATAGTATTTTTGCCTATCAATGTATTATCTTTTTCAACTAGATTTATGTGCAAAAATAAATGTGCAAAAATAAATATAACTAACATACTTTATAAAATTACATAATTTACAATGGTCCCATTTGAAACACAAAAATACATTCAGTAAATGAATAAAAATAAACATCAGCATTCTAAAATGGTGTTTCAGCATATACCTTTAAAAATAAGAAGCATTTACGCAAAATGGAGATAGAATTTACCTCAATACAACAAAGACCATATTTATGATAATTCTATAGCTAACATCATACTCAGTGGCAAAAACTTAAAACTTTTCCTCTATGATTTGGCATAAGATAAGGATCTCCACTGTCAGCACTGTTTCTCAAGAGTATTGAAAGGCCCAAGCATAGCAATTTGTCAAGAAAACTAAAAGGTATTCAAATTGGAAAAGAAGAAAACTATTTCCCTTTGTAGATAATAATATACACAGAACACTCTAAAATCTTCAGCAAGAGAATCTCTAAGGAAAAAATACACCATTGTGGCAGGCATTAAAATTAACTATACAAAAATATTTTATGCTAATATATATATCTATGAAAGAAAAAGAAGTACCATTTCCAGTCGCAATTAAAAACATCTAGTAATCAGTTGAAAGGAGCTGAAAGATATATATATATAAAGTACTAGAAGTAATTATTAAAACTATAGAAGAAGATACAAGAAATGGAAAAATATTCCATGTTCATGGTGTTGGAAGAATTGACATTAAAACTATCATCCTTCTCAAAGCACTGTTAAGATTAAATATGACTCATAATTTAATTATTGTTCTTCAAGATATAGATCAAATACTACTAAAATTTGCTCAGAACCACAACCTCCTTTATAGCCAGAGCAATTTTAAGGAAAAAAAAAGAAGAGAAAAGGATCACTTTACTCAATATCAAACTACTTTGAAAAGCTCAAGTTATCAGAAGGGTGTAGTACTGGAAAAACAAGAGACAATCAGATCAATGGGACAGAATTAAAGCTCAGAATTAAATCATCTAAGATCTAAACAGTTAAATTATAACACATGAGCACAAAACATAAAGAAAAGCTCTTTAATAAATTGTTCTTAAAAACTGGATAGCCACTTGCCAAAGGATGAAACAAGCAGTATCTCACACCTTATAAAAAGTTAATTTGAAGTATATCAAAGATGACAGTGGTAAACTGATTCACAAAATCATAAGACATGTATAGCTCTGTAGCACTTTCTTCCTGTTGGTCATCAATTTGCTCAAGTGTGCACCAGTAACGTCTCCATTGTGAGACTTGTTACTGTTTTTAGCATATCGAATATGCAACAGGAAGCTTGCCAGCCCTGTTCTGCAGGCAGGATACTAGGCATGCTTAATATATTCATGACATTTGCTTCAGAGGTATCTTCAGTGATTCAACTCCGTTAGTAAGGAAAGCAAAAACAAATGTTTGGGCTCAAAAAAATAAAAAGCATTTTAAGGAATTCTTAAGAAAGAACAAGAACTTTGTGTGCCAAAAGAAGTCTCAGAGGCCACAGCGCTAGCTTCGCAGGTAGAAATCCTTGAGTTCAGTCCCTGGTGCCACCTGCATGAACCAGAGGCAGCCCTGGCAGCTCTGTTGTCTGTGACCCCCAGTGCCACAAGCTGTTTCTAGCTACACCCAGAAGGCGCAGAGCACGTGTGAGCAACACAACCAAAGCCTTCAGCTTTCCCAGCAGGCATCACAGCTAAACAGTCCAACTCCACAGTGAGCACCACAGCTGAGTCTGTGAGAATGGCAACCTGAGGCATGACCTCCAGGTATCACAACCAAGTCTGCAAGTACCACAGCCAAGTATGTGTGTGAACCTTCCACAGGATTTTAAGGAGGGGTATTCTGTATCTCTTTTCAGTTCTAATGTCAAATATTTGGCGTTTCATTTTTTTTTTCAAAACTACATGCACAGTGTGCGTATGCTAACATAGCATGATGTTGAAAACCATGAGCCTAAATTTAGTCCTAACTCTTAACTCTACCTTGCTACATGATCTTACTCATGTTCCATAGCCTCGCTCTTCCTCCATGAATATACCAGTCCTTGACTTAATGCATGTCGGGTGTTTATACCAAGAAAGACCTGAGACTTTGATATCATTGAGTAAATGCTAGGTGACTGTCTCATCATAGTGCAGTTAAAAATCCTTTGTCCGAAATATCCGAAATATATTGCATTACCTTAGATGAGTTTAAGAAAGCAATACTCGTGAAATATTAATTTCAGCATGTTCTACTAGGAGTAGTGTCTTTTTTCATTTGTTGTAATGATACAAAGAAAAATCCTGGCTTAAGTTGAACAAGTGGATATTAACCAAAGGACAGTTGTTATTTCTAATTTTGCTTGAAGTCACAGTTGACAAAGAACCTGTTGAAGAGATTAAGTGAGAACTTATACTACCCTGGTATATAAATCTGTGTGACTGTTGGAACAGATAAATATTTAGAGACAAATTTGTTTTGGAAATTAGAAAACTGTGCTTCTAGTAATGGGGAAATTTCACCCTTTAAAAGATAATATTTCTGGCTGAGAATGTAGCTTCATAGTAGAACAGTTGCCTTGCATGAGTAAAGTCCTGGACTCAATCCTTGGCACTGCAAAAATAATAATAAACTAATAAATTGTTTTTCATAAGCATTTCTCTTTTACTGGTTCTAAGCATCCAGATTTGTTTTCACCATAGATTTCAATTCAGGATGTTACCAGAAATGTGTGGTGCTGATAATACCAATCAAAGTAATTTTGATTTTGTCTGGAATAGCTTCATGTACAAATTTGATTAAGTTGAGCTAATAAAAATAAGAAAACTCATTCAGATTTATGGATTTCTTTTTAAGTAGCCCAAAGCATTTTTATCTTATAAATGCATGAGAAATATTCCTTACTAGTTTTTTAATCTCAAAAATTATTTCTCTTCAAAGCTCTTACTTTTTATGGGATCCTTCAGTTCAGGACTCTTCCAAGTTCTTTTTTATAACCTGCCCAACTGTAGTTTAATGAAGCTCTTCTATTTTCAGTGAACTCTCCCAGACTGGAACAGTCTCGTTTGTGTACCTGAGTGTTCTGTGAGAATTTAGTATATGAAACATTTCACTTCAGCTGAAATTTCTGCTTTTAAACTGCTGGCAGGCCAGGGAGTAGGGGATAGTAATCTAAAGCTCTTGACAATGGTAAACATAAAATCTAAATCAAAATACTATACAGAACATGGTGTGTGGAAAAAGAATCTTGAGAATGGAATTTTATGTGTGTTTCAACTAAGAATGGATTTTTTTTAACCAGCTCTGTTTTCTATTTAAAAGACCAATTTTCCTTGTATTACTCCTGAGTAGACGATGAGAATTTTCTTTCTCTTTCTACCCAGAAAGCAAAGATTTTGTACAACATACTGTCTTTACAACATCATTTGTTATATGAAACTAACCTTGTCAGTATTAAAAGCTACATTTTCCCCAAAATTATGTGAAACTTCTCTATATGCCTTTGAAATCTTTACCCAATTCATTTAAATAGTTAAGTGTTATTTCATAGTCAGTTGTAATCTCATTTAAGTCAGGTATTTTTAAAATTCTTGATACTTTGGACAAACATCTCCCAACTCAGTATAAAGTCTGTCCCAAAGCATCAGATACCTAGAGACCAACTTTACAAAGGATATGAAACACTGACGCTAAAAATTATGTCAGTATTGGGGGGAAAAAAACGTACACCAAGAAATGAAAAACTACTTCATTGGTTGGAAGATCCAACATTGTTACAATGGTCATTCCACCCAAAGTATAATACAGATTCAGTGCAATTCTCATCAAAATTTCAATTAATTCTTCAAGGGCTTAAAACAAACTGTACCAGAAGTTGTATGGAAATAAAAACCCTCTCAAATAATCAATTCTGAGAAAAACAAGGATGGGAGGTACTTTACTTCCTGAGTTCAATTTAAAGGTATAGTAATCAGAACTGTGGTTATGGAGTGAACATAGATTCTCAGATCAGTAGAACAGAACTGAAAGCAAATAAAGTGCTCATCATCACATGTTACCAAAGAGTGCAAATCAAAACAAGATGGTCATCATATACCAGTGAGAATTTTACCTATTCAGAAAGATTAAAAATGATTAATGTTGGCAGGGATGTGGAAAAGGAACCCTCAGACATCCAGCGGGAATAACATCTGATAATTCAGACTCTATGGAAAGAAGTTTGGAGAGTTTTATAATAGAACTCCCATAAGGATCAGCAATACCACTTCCTGGCATCTAGCCCCAAAACAAAAAACAATTTCTTTGGGAAAATATTTGCACACCTATGCTCATTGCAGTGCTTAGTGGAGTATCCAAGCTACAAAAATGACTCCAAAAATATGAAAACAGGTAGATGGGATATTATGCAGCTCCAAAAAGATTAATATTTTGCATGAATTATGCAGTATTATGCAAAAAGATGGATATTGTGCAGCTGCAAAAAGATGAAATCATGCAGTTTGCTGCAACATGAAGGAAGTCAAGGGTGTCATGTTGAAGAAAATAAGGGAAAGGACAAATAC